AAAATTAGAATAAAACAAACAAGATTCACCGGAAACTTGCTGAGAAATCCCACAGAAGTTGAAAACAACAAATGTTTGGTCTTTTATAGTCAACAACCACAAAAAAGCAGCAACCGTTTGTATTTTAGGCAAAATCTTCCAGCCTACAACTGTTTCTTCGAACTTTTCAGCCTTAACTGATTTTAGCTTTTGAATATAGCTAGGACGGTGTTATATCCATGTCCTCAACATGAAATTATTTCTTTTTTGCCGAGGAGGAAGCAGAAGAGTAGATGAGTCATCACTCGCCGCGAGCCGCTTGGCCCCTCCCAACTACGTTAGCACCAGGTTATCCATTCAGTACATAGTTTATTCGTATATAATAGACCAGGAGAAATTACGGTGTTCAGAGTGTTGTGCTGCCATGCACACAGCGCGTTTGGAATTTCAAAAGTGCGCGGCGCGAGTTGGACCAGCACGCTGGGACAAATTAGTGCGCTTCGTGAGCGATCGAGTCAATTTTTCCCTCTGGTCTTCTTCATTCCTATCGCGGCTGTACAGTTTGCATCAGCAAGTAATGATACATCCAAATATGCTTTATCTCACAGTATGCGATGGTAGCTACAGTTAATCTTTGTTTATTTTAGGTCAGTTTGGTCGTTTCATTTTTCGTCATCAACAATTGCCTCCATTGCGCCTAGTTTTTCACAAGAGCTGGTTTACTGCTATACCATTGGCGTTCGTAAAAAACGATGGTGGTAAGTGAGCATTTCATGTTCTAAAAATCTCATCCGTACAAGAATAGTTAGCACCACACTATTCCAACTACAACAAACCAAGAATTTTCTTCACTGAAATTATTGGGAGTTATCACTGCTCCGATCATGGCGCTAATTCATTTTTGCACTGAAATACTTACTAATATACTTATATATGTTGGCGTTGTCATTTTGCAACTTGTCAGGGGCCTGTTAAAAGAGATTATTCCGTGCTTTGCATACGAATATGTTGTTTTTGGTCAACGCATAGAATTGAAGTTAGTGGCGAGAACATCGTATTTCTTTTGAGGCACTTACAATTAGTGATTCCTTATAGGTGGGGTAGTGACAAGTGGCGCGCTCACCACTCGCGCGGTCCTGGGTTCAATCCCAGGTCGACTCCCGCCCAGGCCAACCAAGCCTTCTACCCTCCGGGGACGGTAAATTGGTACCAGATTCGTCTGGGAGGATAAAACACTGACTTGTACATCGGCTGGCCACCGCAAGTCATTGTATAGGCCACATCGCATTCAATAAGCCACTACGATTCTGAATGGAAGTAGAATGCGTGCCGCATCCCACAAAGGGATTGATCAACGGCGAAGACTTTATCCTTTTTATCGTTTATAGATAAAGTTTCAAAAACTGGGTTTGAATATTGTATTATTACCATAGCCTGGAATAACTATATTGATCCTTCTAGAAAGAGATCAAGGAATTTGGACCATGGTCCGAGCAAACCAGCTCCTCCGGCCGAAAGTACTTCTACAATCGCGATACAGAGGTACTCCTTATTCTGAGCTGTTGTGAAATATTCTGGTTCGTAAAATAATTCCAAAAACAAGCGTGTGAATGCTCAGTATATTGAAGGACGCATGTTAGAACGAGGGAAGGGACATTCGTACTTGCTTATTTGTAAAGTACTTGTACTCGGCGTTAGTTCAAAGTGTTTCAGTTGTGATGAATTCTTTTTAATTTTTCAAGCTTTGACTTACCCAGTCTGTGCCTTCGCTTAGAACTCGCGGTTAGGCAAGTTTTAAGAAAAACATGTAAAAAGGGAGCGAACGTCGAAGTC